CCCCCTCCCCTCGTGTCCGGCTGCCAGCATCGCGCAGGACACGGGGCTGCAGTTTGTTCGGGGAGCCCTGGCCTTGACGGAGTCTTTCCGAACGTAGTTTGCGGAGAATATCCCCCCCCCTCTTTTATTGTGTGAGCATATGAAAAAGCAAATAAACAGCATGGAGTGACCTGGGGGTTCCCAAAGTGCAGTGAAATCCCTTAGCTGCCTGGTGGTGCAGTGGTGCAGGGGCTGGTCTGGCCGGCCCCAGGGCCAGGCAGCTGGATGGGGAGCTTAAATGACTGTTCAGGTAACGTTGTAAGAGGTAGGGAGCTTTGCAGTCTTAGCTAAGACGCTGCAGGGCTCTTCCCCGCAGCGTAGCGCTGGGACAGCTGCAGCAGAAAGGACACGGCGAGGCTGGTCCCTTCGCACCCGCAGCAAGGCCTTTGGAGCCTGGTGCTGATCTGCTCATGGGAGCTGGGAAGATGAGCAGGAGGCCAAGTAGGACGTACCCAGGCCTGGCTCTCTGCGGGGCTGGGAACGCTCTGCTCCGTGTCACATTGCAGGGCACGGGGCGGAGGATGCTCAGCTCCATGCTGGGGCTGCCCTGAGCCTGGGGCACGGCTCAGGCTGCCTGCAAGGCAGGTCCTTCAGGTCCTGCAGGGAAAGTCCCTTCTGGGAAGGTCCAGGGCTCTGGGCCAGTGGGTGCAGTCATTAGTGCTTGTCGTTGCTTGGCCTCTGCCCAGAGCTAAAATCTCTGGAAGTCATAGAGCTCCTCAGCCCCACTGATCTTCAGGCCCTGTAGCAGGGGGAAGTTGATGAGCGGCTCCTCGAGGAAGCCCTTGTCCTCCTTGCTGCCCTGGCCGTACAGCCTCTCTGGGGCGACCCCGTGGAACCAGAGGTTCTCGTAGGGCTTGGGGCTGGGGGTGCCATCAAAAAGCAGAGGCTGGGTGGAGCTGGACCGGAGGTAGAGGCGAGATGGGATGTGCTGCTGGCCCTTGTAACCGTCCCCGACCACCTGCGCATACTGGACTGTCTCGCCTCCATTTCTGTAGCGCCCCTCACTCCTTTCTGACACGTCTCTGCTGCTGCAGGGTGTGCCAGGTCCATCCTGCTGGACGTAGGACTTGGGCATGTCTGGGAAGCCACTGGTGGTTTCTGCCACGGGATCCTTGCCCCACAGCTGTTTCCCTGCTACCCTTTCCAGCACTGTGATGGTAGAAATGGGCGCCAGGCCGGGTTCCCTCACGCCAGGGACCTGCAGAGGCTCCTGGAGGAACAATGTGCGTTCAGGCTGGCCTGCGGCACTGGCTGCCGCGGCGCAGAGGTGTTCGCAGGATGCACCCCTCCTCCGTGCCCCCCCAAAACGCACCTCTCTGCGCCCCTGGGCACACTGCACTCGCCCAGCTGCAGCATGGCCCCTGTCCCTGGGCTCCGCTGTGCCGCGCGGCGCACAGAGGTGTTGTGCCTTTGTAAGAGCGTGGCCATGGCCTCGGCTGCTCACGGAAGTGTGGTGCGGTCCCTGGGCGGGTGCTTGGGTGTGGGATGGGGGAGGTAGGGGGAGAGCAGACTGCCAGGTCTCACCTGCTGTAGCTCTGCTGGCACCCATTTGCCGAGGCTGCTGTTGGCAGGGTCGGGGACGCTGGGCCAGAACTGCTTCTTCACCCTGGTGGTTGCAGAACAAGAAGGGTCAACAGATAACCTGAAATGAGGTGGCTTGGGGCTGACCTGATATGAACACATCAGGCTCCCATGATTGCAGATCCCCCTGAGATAATAGCGGGACACGTCCACCGCCCACTTTTATCCACTTCCTCCAACAGACGGGCTGCAGCCAGGGCTCTGGCCATGCTCCTGGCTGGAGAAAAGGGTGGCCAGAGGAGCCCAGCACAGAGGAGGCCAGTCCCAGCCTTGCAGCAGGGCTCTTGGTGGCACTCACCTCCCGTTCTTCTGGAAGCAGATCATCAAAAGTATGAGCAGGACAAAGATCAGCCCAAGGGTCAAGAAGAGGAACTGGATTTCAATGTCATCTGGAAAGCAGGCAGGAGAGGATCATTGTGGGAAGTGGCCCTTGCAGTCAGGTGGGGGCAGCGGTGGGGCACCGCGCTGCCCGTCCGCTGTGCTGTGCTGTGGGGCTGGGGCAGGACGCAAGGAGGGCAAAGCCTCTCACCACCCAACTGCCCGCGTGTCCAGCTGTCCCTGTGAGCACGGCAGGGCCCAGGGGCGCAGGTCAGGTCCCCTCCTGCCCTCACGGTGTCCCTAGAGCTGGTGGGAGGCTGCACCCCTGCCTTACCTAGCACCGTGGTCACCAGGGTCAGGCTGGTGCCGTTGGTGCTGCCCGCGGCCGTGGAAGCCATGATGTGCACCTTGTACAGGGTCGAAGGCTTCAGGTCCCAGATGACGAAGGAGCTGAGAGAGGAATTCACAACGGCACCTAGAGAGAAATCCAGCAGATGTCAGGGAGGCCAGGGGCCTGCTCTGCGGCTTGGCCATGCCCGTTCGTCACTCTGCACAGCCTGATCGAGGGTTTCCCCTGCAAGGACAGGTGTGCTCAGCTCCAAGACGGAGCAGGAAGAGCAGGGAAGGGCATAAGAAGTGCCACAGGAGAGGAGGAGGCACGAGCCCTTCAGGAGCTGTCCCAACCCACACCATCGGCAGAGCAGCCTGCACTACCCGCAGCAGCGATGTCCAGGTTGGCAGGGTCTGGGTCAGCCCCACTGCCACCCCGGGGTGCCGCGGCGGAGCTGATCTGCTCTCCTGGCACAGGAGCGTTGGGAGCTGCGTTGCTCCGGCCAGCTGCACCCCCTTGGGTCTCTGCTGCCAGTGGGATATTCGTACAGTACCCAGACACGCACGGACCCATCTGCTCTCTGACCAAGGGACAATGCCTGCTAAGGTCCCCACCCGACGCAGCCATGGTCAGGCAGGGAGCAGGGACAGCAAGGACACAGCCAGCACTCACTAGAGACATCTGCGGTGCTGTTGGCCCAGAAGATGGTGTAGTTGGTGATAAAGCCATTCTGCATCTCAACGGGAATCGAGTCCCAGCAGAGCTCAGCGTGGGACTTGCTGATGCTCTTCAGGTGGAGCTTCGGGGTGCGGGATGGTGCTGAAACGGAGCAAGATAAGCGAACGGGCACTGTGCGAAGCAGCAGCC